TGTGTGTGTGTGTGTGTGTGCGTGCGTGTGTGTGTGTGTGATATATACACTATTTGTACAGTCAGCTTTAAAACTGAAAAGAAAAAAAGATAGACTCTTAGCATACCACTCTTGTAACACCAGTCAAAACATTGTAAGTAATTGAATAAGTGCTTATAGAAAACTTATAAGAGATAATTGGATCATTGGCTTGAATATAAAAAATAGAATGTGTAGAGAATATTTGATGTATATCTATGCAATGTCTCGTTTAAAACTAAATATAGCCATGGGATTCTGAGTTTCATTCATTGACTATGAAGACGATATTATATCACGAACTGAGAATCATTTAACCATGTTTGATCCTAAGCCTGTGATGTGAATATATATCTTTTTTTGTTTGAAGATATAGTGGTAGCTCTAAAAAATGTAATGTAAACTTCTACATTATATATAATATCACTTTTATTCTCATTTTAATATCATAAGATAAAGTATGTAATATTTCAATAATAGTCAATAAAATTTTTAATATATTCATTAATCTATCATCTTTTCTATTTTAAAAGTCAATTTTAGGCTGAAGCAACTCATTCTTATATCTGTTAAAGCAAATCCCACATAGATATATATAAAATGTCTCACATTATGCATTTTTTCTCAACAATGAATTTACAGTACAAAATTTTTATATCTTGAGTTTTAGAGCTCTCTAAAGATTCAAAAACCACATTAAAATTATTAAGATAAATTCTATTTGAAGATAATAAGCATTCTCTAGTTGCATTTTTTATTAGTAAAAATTCTCATTCTTGATCATATGTAACTCAAAAATTGATGAACCACTATTTAGAAAAATGCTATTATTTTAGTATCGTCTTTAATAATATTCAAAGAGAAAATGCACGATGTCTATATGTACATACATATAGCAATCCATTTTACATAATATGACATGTCTCGAAGTGACACATGTCTAGAATAAACTTTTAACAGTAATATATAAGTTATATATTCTAGTACTTAAATGGTGTGTCAATTACAACAGAATCTATTCGATGATAGCATACACTTATTTTGTGCAAAGCAAATTCTTTTTGGAAGAAAAAAATTTTTTTTTTTTTCTGATTTATATATCTATAATTCATCATTATATATCTATATTCATATATATATATATACAGACATAT